TTTTTTTTTTTTTGAAGAACCTTGCCTGGAAAAAGGAGTAACTCTCAATTTTAGAAATAAGATGGATTTAGTCTACTGTTGAAAATTTCCCAAAGAATGAACTAGTTTTTCTGAGTTAGCTGCTATTGTTATTTATTTCACAACTGATATATCATATAATAATAAAGTACCTAAAAAGACCAGCTTAGAGAAGTCTTTTAGGTGTAAATGTAAAACCACTGAATGCTTCCAGAGCACAGATAATAATGCTGATTTCAAGCAGTATGTAACCTTGCTCTTTCACACACTGGTTCAATGTACAGCTTTGTGCCAACAGAACAAAGCTGTCCTTCTTCCCTTTTATGCCTTTCTGAGCATCTATTTATCTGACTTAGAAGTAACTAGTCAAACAAGAATGATTTCTAGGGTTCTGGAAGACAGGCCTCATTTACCGAGAAAGTAGAATTTCTCAGGAGACGACGAGTGATTAGAGGAAGCAGAAGGGTGAATACACAACTCTAAGAAAGCATCCCTCATTCTTTAACTGGCGTAAGTTGGAGTCTGACACTTCACAGAAGCAAATGAATTAATAGTAAAATCCTAAATACACTCTCTTTAAAAATCTTAGTTCACCATTTATCAAGTAAAGTGTTCTCAAAGGAAATCTTAAATATGAATAATTTTCGCAATTACCTGATTTCCACACACTGATCTTGAACAGCAGCCAAAAGCTTCCCATTGCTTTCATAGGGGAGAAAGAGAGAAAAAAATCTATTGTGAATATTTGTAGCAATCTTCGACACAGAATTATTTTTAAAAGTTAAAATAATTTTTAAAATTTTTAAAGGCTTTAATTATCTATCTTTTGACCTTACAAGTAGATAGATGTATAGATACAAAAGCATACAAAATGATTCAATTCATCATGAATTAACATGTTTAAACAGTATCATGTAACAAAGGAAATTTAAATACCATAAAAATCAAGAATGAAAGCCATAAGGACCCCAAAATTAACATCAATAATGAAATTTAAAAGGTAATTCAGATAGAAAAGCACTACATGAATTTTATACGTCCTTACCTTGCAAGTACCAAATGCCAGTTTATCTGTTTATTAACCAAGCGAACCAGTCCATCAGGGAGCAAAAAAGGTGCAGGTCTGAAATTACAACATATCACCTGGCTTAAAATCTCATCATAAAAACCACATAAGAGTAGGTAAATATTATAAATAGTATATGATATCTATAAAGAGAGGGGGGAATCTGTTCTCCCATTATAATATAAAATTTGAATGTTAGCAATCTCAAAACCAAAGTTATTAATTTGCTATCTGAAATTTGACCACAGACATGTCTATTTCCACAAAAACATAGTGGTGTGTTCAAAGGTAAAAATGATATGTACTTTCCAGGAAAAACATACCCAGCATACCAGCAACAGAACAGAATGAGCTTATGCCAAACACTTCCTTCTATGACCACCTGGAAACTCTGGCCCAACTATAATAAGAATAAATTCTAGCACAGAGTTAAACTCACAAGAAAATAACTTCCAAATATTTGAAATGAAAATGTAATGGAAAGTTATGATAGAATTGGGCACAGAGGAAGAATCCAAGACAAGAATCCAAAACGGAACTCAACACAAGACATAGGAAATGAGCTGCTGGGCCACAGAGAGGACAAGAACTGCAAGGAGACTTCTGTGAAAACCAGAATGCTCAACGGACTCTACATCAATGGACAGAGAGCTAGAAACACTTCACTACAGTGCCAGAGAGACTTTAAGGACTCTCATCTCTGCCTGGAACTCTGATTCTGAGGGAGATGGAAAAGTATCTCCTATGAAAAATTAAAAGCCCAAGCCTGAGCTGTATGCAAGACCAAACTACAATTTCACATTTCGCATATGATGCAAGAATCCAAGCATAAATTCCCAATAAAACCATTCACAAAGTGAGTACAAACAACAAACTGGAGGAGTAACACCTGAAGCAAACCAGGAACTAGATGGAAAAGAAGAATTAAAAAAAAAACTCCATGAAAGAAAAACAGGAAAAAAAAGGGTAAAAACCATGTTACAGAAATCAAAAAACACAAAACAAGATAAAAAGTATTAGTGGCCAGGCACAGTGGTACACACCTGTCATACCAGCTATTCAGGAGGCTGAGGTAGGAGTGATGCTTGAGCCCAGGAGTCCAGGCTGAAGTGAGACATGTCACACCTGTGCATAGCCACTGCACTCCAGCCCGGCAACACAGCAAGACCCCATAAAATTTAACTAAAAAATTTTTAAATAATAAGAAAAACATTAGTAAAACACATTTGGTATATTTATGTCCACTTCTAAAATATAAAATGCGTAATATCAAGAGACAGTTACAAAAATACTATAATAAAGACATGACACATGTATGTGAATACCATCCATATGAGGATGACGATTTCCTCTGGAAGGAAAGAAGAAAAAGATGGTGGAAGACTTGAGATGTAACATTTTGCATAAAAAGAGAGAAAGAACTACTAGAAACAAATACAGAAAGAGAGCAAAAACTGCTCAAATTCAGATATGGACATAAGCCATATACAGGTTTGTTGCATTGCCCATAATTCTCAGTATGTTTAGACTATTTCATAATTTTAAAAAGTAAGTTTTAAAAGAAGGAAAGAAAAAGACACTTGAAATAAATATTGGCCCAAAACTTTTATGTTTAATTGCCATATACTCAGAAGTACAAATTGAACTATAATCTTTTTAAAAGTGAAATTAGAAAGGTTAATCACCTCATGGAACATTCACAACCTGTACAATGATCAACATGGCCAATCGGAGGAAGATTCCTCAGAAGAAAGAGACAGAAAGATACCTATTGATCTGATGTTAAGATGCTTACACACAGGATAAGGTCTCCATAAGAGTTAACTCTTTTTGAATCCTCCTTCCCAATAAATAACAAAAAGAACTAATTACCAAGCAACAACCTGAACAGACAGCATTTCCTGACCACTCTATGCAAGGAGATCCAGGACTAGCAAAAGCAGTAACGTAGGGAGCTCAGCAACCACAGCATACATCTATGCTCCTTTCCTCTTCCACCTTCTCTGTGCTCAGCTCTCTGCCCATCACACCCCACACAGGCCAGAAAACAAGACAAAATTAATGTAAATATACACATACACACAGAGTAAAAGCATAAAACCAGTGAAGCAGAGCCATAAAGAAGAGCCAAAGGTCTCATTTTTAAAATCACATTATCTCTGGAGCTTTATAGATTAGATATTCTCAAAGAAAAGGCAATCTAAAGTAAATAATTCTATAAAACAATTCCTGCACATGTATCTAAAAGAAGAATTACAGGCTTTGTCAGAATTAGTATTTTCTTGTTCTTTTTAAAGGTGAAAATTAGCCACGCCTGGAAGTACACTTAAGACTCAAGAAATTAAAAAGCACACAGAACTGAAACCTAAAGATCTTCTCATGTACAGCAACTGAATAATGACAAGAGAGCAGATGTAACAATAAGCACAAAAATACTTCTTTAAAAGATATGCAAGCAGCAGGGGTATTATGTGGGCATTCAGGATACCACTGAGAACATTCATCAGAGGAAGCAGAATTCATCATTCTTAACAATAACTAAGGAAACAAAACCACCCTAAGTCTAGCGAGATATCTTGTCCGATTATGCCAAAATGTGTGAAATGTCTGTTCTATAAACTGAGTTCACCTGAATGTCAGCATCTTTATCATGATCTAGAATTCAGCTATGAGAACTTAAATCATAAACAGAGTAAGTCTGCTTACATTTGATGTTCATACCATTTCTCTGAAGAATTGAAGACTCACCTGTACCAGATGTATTGGCTTAAAAATAATAAATGATCTGTAATAAAAATAAACAGCAAACCAAACATAAATCAGTTGTCATTTAAGAATCATTTTCAAATTATATTTACAGATAAGAAATCTAAAATTTACTGCAGACTGAATCATGACAAAACAAAACACAGAGTATCACTCTTAAAATGGGAGAATGAATATCACCTAATAGTTGCCTATTTGAAAGTGCACACGGGCTTGGCGCCTGTGGCTCAAGCAGCTAAGGCGCCAGCCTCATACACCTAAGGTGGCGGGTTCGAATCCCCAGCCTGGGCCCGCCAAACAACAATGATGGCTGCAACCAAAAAATGGCCAGGCGTTGTGGCGGGCGCCTGTGGTCCCAGCTACTTGGGAGGCTGAGGCAGGAGACTCGCTTGAGCCCAGGAGTTGGAGATTGCTGTGAGTGATGCCACAGCACTCTACCCAGGGGGATAGCTTGAGGCTCTGTAAAAAAAAAAAAGAAAGTGCACACGAACCTCAGGGACACTCTGTAGATACAATAACTTTTACAAAATCATATATTTGTATTAAGTTCCAAGTTTGTGTATTATTCAAAAGTTTGAAGTATTTCCTAACTGTACAAAAAAAAAAAGTGGTTTGAGATGTTAAATTTCATCTAAAAAGTTTTAATGAAACCATAGGCTAGAAGTCAAGTAGTCACCCTTTAAGTAGTTACCCAAAGTATTTGCACAAAAATACAGGATACCATTTAACACTTTATAGCAGAGACATAAAAATAATAATATCTAAAATAGGGAAGTCCATGATATTCTGTATCAGAAGATAAAATTATATTAATTTCCAATACTCAACTACTATGAAACTGACTCTTCTCTTTATAAACAACTAGTATAATAAGATAAAATTCACTGGTACAGTAAGGATGGACTTTGGAGTCAGAAAGACATGTAGTCAAATTCCAAATGAATGACCCTGGGCAGGGTTCCTCATAAAAATACACAAGTAATAATATCTAAGCTGATAGTATGGTAAAAGGATTCTGTGAATTAATATAATGAAGCCCTCAGGGCACCAGATCAACAAGCCTAAGGCTCAATACTTTCTCAGTTTCTTATTAACTCACATGTAAAATCTGTTAGAAGTTAATGAAGATGCTAATCAAATTTATAACATTAATATTTCTGGCTATATATTATCTGAAATATCATATAAACAATTTAAAATGGTCTTTCACTGTGTTTCCACTTTCAACATCCATTGACTCTGAGACCCATACTGGCTTCAGTCTCTAGAAGCATGTGTCCTCTGGAAACATATCCATAATGGTTAAACCCAGGGTACAGTTTAACTCTAAGATGCATTAAAAAGTGCATGTGTAAATATACAGACATATAGGTATATAGGGGTATGTGCAAATGTGTTAATAATTAAACTCAGATAATATATATGTTACTTATTTTCATCAGCTCTACAGTCTAAAAAAATCATTTTAACTGCTAACTGTATCATTATATATAGAAAAATAAATAAGTTTTATTTACCTCGAATTGCTTTTGTGATGATAAAGGATGCGCCACGTTTTCGGTTGCCTCTAAGCTATAATTTAAAACAAAAAAATTTATAGTTAAGAATCTTCTATTATCACTTATATAATATGTAAACTTACTTTTCTTTCTGGGTACAAAGTAACAGTATTTTAAAACTACTTATAGGTTGAAACAAAAAAGTAGACTGAGTCTGGGGCAATGGGAGAAAACAGGAGCATTTTCATACACTTATTAAATGCTTATTTATTGAAACGCACAAGGACTAGCAGGAGGTATAGGCATGTGTCAGGATGAACCTTGCAGGAGAGGACAAGAATTGAGGCTAGAAACTGTTCCCAAATCGAGACCCCAATCCAAAAACAAAAGGAGTCAAGGGCAAAGACCATACTGGTGGAAACTAAAACAAATTTTGTTCACAAGAAAAGGGGTAATAGAGGTTAATAAACTCATACCTCATGGCAATTAGAGTTTCCACTGTATATCCCCAGAGACAACACCACTAACAAAACACACAGATATATAATTGCTATATCAAATAATTCCAATCCATAAGTACAGACTGGGCACTCACTGAGTATAAATTAAATGACAGTAGGCATTATGGAAGATGCACTAAAGTGCTGTCAAGAAAAGTAAGATTCTACTATTAAAATACAGAAGTCATTTCACTCAACAAACACGGATTGATGTCCAATTCTTGCAAGATACAATTTGGCCCGGAAGAGAGAGAGAAAGAGCAATCAGATGTAGGGGGCTCTCCCAGAGCTCATAATTCAACAGCTGAAATCAGTACAACATAGAATCAATAGAACTGTGCCCTCTCCCCAAAAAAACAAAGTGCCTTGAAGTTTTGATGTAAATGGTTGAGGAAATTATCTTTTAAAAATCAATTTATGTTAAGCATTCTGAAACACTACTGCAATTAATTGATGGATATTAAGGAGTGGAAACTCATCTGGCAAGAGCAACAGCTTCCTCCTAGCTGCATAACTTTCAAAATATTCAAATTGTTCAAGACAAAGAAAACCTAAGTTGGCTCAGAGCCTGTGGCTCAAGTGGCTAAGGCGCCAGCCACATACACCTAAGGTGGCGGATTCGAATCTAGCTCGGCCAGCCAAACAACGATGGCTGCAACCAAAAAAAAATAGCCAGGCATTGTGGCGGGAGCCTGTGGTCCCAGCTACTTGGGAGGCAAAGGCAGGAGACTCGCTTGAGCCCAGGAGTTGGAGGTTGCTGTGAGCTGTGATGCCACAGCACTCTACCCAGGGGTACAGCTTGAGGATCTGTCTGAAAAAAAAAAGAAAACCAAAGTAAATACTTGAAAAACAATAATACCTGCAGATCTTCAAGACACACAGAAACTTCAGTGGGAAAGAGGTTATAGAGAAAAATATACAAACTTTATAGGAAAATGAGCTTAAGAATGAGTAGTTTTTCCAGAAAAAAAAAAAAAACACTCAGAAAAGATATAAAAGAGAATCCATATGGGCTGGACTCCACAACCTTTAATAAAGGTACTATTTATTGTGCCACTTCCTGAGTCTCAAACAGTAACTGGCACATATTAAGCAATCAAATGTATTTTGAAATAAACGTGGATCCGTGGTTCCTTCTCTTCACCCTCGGCCCAGGCGGCTATCCCCAGGAAACAACTGATAAATCCAAGGTCCCCTTTATAAGTTATCAAAGCTAATAACCCTTTCTCTAGCAGACATCCCAAGCCTGGTCAGTTAGTTCCTCCTTACTCCTCACTCCCACGACATTTTGCTCACTATAGCACCTGTGTGTTGGATTGTCTCCCTTCTAAACTAAAAGATCCACGAAAGTTTATCCATCTCCGTATGTATCCCCAGCACCTAGTACCGTATCTGGGACAACTTAACAGACGGACACGCTTTAAATGCTTGTTTATTGAAACACACAAGGACTAGCAGGATTCAGCCCCAATGTAGTGGTAAAGGGTTAGGTCCTGCGCTCCTCGGCAGCAAACCTTATGTTAAAAAGACTGTAGCGTCCTGAAAAATTCTTGCAACGCGGTCGAGGGTGGCCCCCGACCAGCCTACGCCAGACAGCAAAACGAGACCCCCAAAGTCCAGGCTCAAGAGGGACCCTCGAATCCAGCGCTGTGCTCGCCCCTCCAAGTACAGTGAAACTGGCCATCAGAGAGAAAAGCGAAGTGGCTCAGAAAACAAGATGCCTCCCCTGACAACCGAATTGTGAGCGGAGGAATAGTCTCAGGGACTACCCACGGCCCCAGCCCAGGGTGTGGTTGCCAAGGCGACTGCGCCAGCTGCGGAGCCCCGCTCCCCCGCCCACCCGGCTCCCCTCCGCTACGTGGCTACAGCTACGTGGATCTGCCCACACAGCGCCCGCGCCCAACTGGCTGAAGCCCTAAAGGGACCTGGTTCACCTGAACTTCTGTCTCCGGCGGCCACTCGGTGTTGACTAATAAGTCATAGAGAATCGTCTCCTCCTCGCCCTCTGCCGTATCTGGACTCGGAGCCGGCTCTGACTCGAGGGCCGCCATGTTCGCCCGGGACTCGAACAGCCGAGGGAGTGCGGCTACGGATCCCCGCGCGGGACAAGCTTCCCAGGCCGCAGCCGCTTTTGATTCGCGCGAAAGGGAGCGACGTGAACTGACTGCGGGAAGGAAATGTTGCGTTAACTCTCCTAAGAATAGAAAGGGTAATACCTATTGCTTGCCCTTATTCTGACTTGGGTCTCGGTCCCAGTGCATGCCTTATTATCTGATCTGCGTGAAATCAGCCAAGTCATTGACCCTTTCTTACCCAGTCAGGTTCTATAAAATAAATGGCAAAAGCACACTCCCTCTCTGTCCCTGACATACTGATATTCATTCATCTATTCTTTGAAGAACACAGAGTTTCCAAACAATGGCTTTAAATAAACAACCAAAAACGTATCCAACGCTCAAGAGATAAAGCCCATCAAGTGGGTAGGACCTCAGAAAAGGCCACATTGTCTGTTAGCGGGAAATTCCTGGAGGAAGTGGAAATTTTCCAGATACTTAACAAGAGGTAAAATTTGAATCCAACAAGGACATTCCAAGCAGCAGGAAACGGGGTGAGCAAAGATACATACATAGTAGAAGAGAGCAGGCAGGCTGAATAGAACCAAAATTGAAAAATGGTGTGGGTGCAATAAAGTAAAAATAATAAGTTGAGAACCTTCATGGAGGGAAGTAAAAGGCCAGCCTCACCTGTTCATTCACTTGTTCATTGATTCATTCACAGTACCTCTTTGTGGAGAGCCCTGTGCAGTCCGTGGTAACCTGAATGAATATGCAAAGTCCAAAGTATTAACACTGTCACATTCAAAAGAAACACAAATAGGGAAGATCTCTTGAGGGAATTATATTGCATGGTATCCATCAAGATGCATCAGGGCCTAATGATTAGGCAGTCATGCAATCAAAAGCCTCTGCCGCGAAGCCTCTAATGGCTCCCCTTTTTCTCAAAGCTTAATGACCTCATGCACCTATCTAGTGGGCCTGCTACCCGTTAGTCTCACACCTCATTTCTGGCTCTTCCCTCTAAATTCAGGCACAATGGCATTGCTGTTTCTGAACTTGACAAACACACATCCACTTCAGGGACTCTGCAAGGGCTGTACCCTCTGCTTGGAAGCTTTCTTCCCCCAACCCTGCCTCTCTCACACTTATTTCCATCAAGATTTTGCTCCAATTTCACCTGCTCTCTAAAGCCTACACTGACAGCTCATTTTTAAATTCTCAGCCATGCTTCCCCAACTCCATCTCTCCAGACCTGCTCTGTTTTTCCATAACATTTATTATCATCTAAAATGCTATACAATATATGCTTATTCTCTGTCTCTATTCACCTAAAAGTAAGCTCTGCTAGGGTAGAGTGCTCCATCTATATACACACAGATGCTGTATACATCCCTGCTATATCCCCAGAATAGTGCCTGGCACAAAGCCAAGGGCAAACTATATATTATTTATTAAATAAATGAAAGACTTCCCAGAAAATCTCTTTTACACATTATTTCCCCAAAGTATTTCTCTGCACAACAGCTGTGCCTTTTTATCAAACCTTTCATTGTAAACACCTGACATGTGTGAGCTCTCCTGTAGAAGGTGAAGAGGTAGGAATATATCCACATGGCATGCAGTGTGAAGAGTGGCCCTGGAGCTGTGCAGTGCCTCAGCACGGCCCTCACCCATTTCTGCACACCAAGTTTCCTTGGCTCTTTACTCCCCTTCTCTGTTTCATCCTTTCTTGGCTAAATGATGGGCTCACTTTCTGTTTTTGTCCATTCTCTTCACCACTTACCATTTAATCTACACAATCACAGCCAGGAAGTAGCTAATTCCTTCTTAGATGATATGCAAAGGGGACAACCACAAATATATCACTAAAAATTCCTTTCCTTTACTTCATCATACTATGTCAATGGCTTTATCCTTCCTTAACCTTATCCTCTTCATCATAGTTTGTGTTAGGGTGTGAGCAAATATATACAGGTTTAGAAAAGTTCCTCGAGACCAAGACTGGGATATAAAAGTATAAAATTTATTTTATCTTCTTAGACGGAAAGAGAGAGGGAAAATAATGGGAAAGACAGCAAGAAAAGAGAACAGGCGTGACATCCTAAGAAAAAAGGAGGAGAAAGCCAGAGCCTGAAGCCAAGTGGTTAGGTGATTTTAAAGACGGTTATAAATTGGCAGGGTAGAGTGAAGAAATTGCTCCATCAGCTCCTTTTCCTTTCTTCTTGCCCTCAGGCAGATAACAAAAACAAGCAGAGCCACACCAAGTCCAAGAGCTGGTCCCTCTGCCTTTCTTTGGAGATGAGATTATCACAGGAGAGGGGAAGAGTCTACCCCACAGATATGGCTGAAGCCTGAAGCTCCTTTCCTGCTGTTTACTCAAGAATGCTGTAAAAAGCAGATTCTGAAGAACAATTTTGAAAAGAAACATGTACACCTTTTTTCTATCAAGCTTTTTCAAAAGTTGTACGAAACAGAATTCTGAACAGGCAGGGTGCCTGTTGGTGGGAGGACTCAGAAGATTGATCTCTAACTTTTACTAGGAAATTGCAGAATTAGGTATTTTCCTGTTATTTTTACAATTTTTGCAAGGCCACCCCTTTCAGTTTGGACAATAGAACGGGAAACAAAAAGCCATCCCTGGATGGCCTCAGGCAGCTTCTATTCTGAAGAAACAACAAAACTGAAGTTTCACAGGCTGAAACTACAATATTTGGAGAGTGAATGTATATTTAACTTGCAGACTCCTAGAGGGAGAATCCCACAACCAGAAATTTTCTGAGTAGATGGAAAGATTTGTAAGCATTCTATACCACTTCCTAAAATACAGAAGAGGTCAGGCGACCAACAAAAGTGAAGGTGGTGGTGAGAATGTGTATTTCATAAGTAGGGCTTCAAATGACAAATACCAGACAACTAGGGTTGGAAAAGAAAAAGCAAAGAATTGATCAAAGATGATCAAAGTTCTACTCAGTCAAAGGAATAGGATGACTTAAAACAGCTTGGGTACCTTAAGCCAAACTGCTAATTAATCTTACTTACAGTGACACTTTTGAGAATGAAAAGAGATGTTGTTAATAATTATGCCCAGGCATAAAACAAGTTGATGGGCAAACTGAGATGATGATCACACTAATCTTGAACAGGAGAGTAGTAGATTTAGTGACAAGACTTTAGGCATTTCATAAGGACAGCAAGACTCTTCATCCTCATTCCCTGCTCCTTCTTCCTCATGCTTGCAGTTGACCAGTGTCATTCGTGTTCACCAGACCTGTTGCCTCCTTTGGGTCCTCCTTCAATTGCTCTTCCTTCACTCAAGTCATGTAATTCTAATAGGGCCACCTATCCTCAAACCCTGCCTCCACGACCCAAAGGACCCCATTCCTATTACTTCAAGAATCTGGTTCAGAATGATTCCCTAGAAAGGTTTTTTTGCTGTTTTTTGTTTGTTTTTTTAATGAAAGTAGAAGAAAAGGCCTTTTGGGGTCATAGAGTTTGGAGAATACAAATTGGAGTTGTCAACAGCCATCTTATTCCTTATATAAGAAAAGCCTGTCTGCATGGTGAGAGAATGAAACCAACAAATTTGAAAAAACAGAGGAGAGGCAGAGACTTCATTTGACATTGGCGTGCCTGAAACAAGTAATGCCTGTGTTCTTTTGTCTTCCCAGATAAATGATCCAGTGCATTCCCTTTTATGCTTAAGCTCATTTGAGTTGAGTTTCTATGCAACAACTTCAGAGTTCGGTTGTCATGAGCTATCATGGACATCTAATCAATTTCTTAATTTAGGTGAAAGTCCATCATTGGTTCAAAGATATTTTAAGTCATGAATAAATCATTCTGAAAAGAAAAATTATGTTTTCCAAATAACCAACACGAATGTTTATGAACTACTTAAGGAAATGACACAGAAATAAAATTTGAGGCAATTTCAAAATAGGCATCACCATCATCATCAAAACAGCTACATTTTGTGTCCCTACTCTGCTTCAAGCACTGTGCCAGGTACTTTATTATACCTTACTCTGCTCCTTTCTATGATACTGTAAGGAATGTGTTAATATCTGTATCTACATATAGATATACAGCCACAAAGAAAGATGGAGACTTTGCCTCCTTCCTGTTTGCATGGATGGAGCTGGAAAATGTCCTCCTTAGCAAAGTGTCTCAAGAATGGAAGAAAAAGTATCCAATGTACTCAACACTATTATGAAACTAATAGTTAGCTATCTTAGGAAAGCTACAATCCAAATGGAGCCCTAGACTACCGGGAAACTGCATATAGAAGTAACACACTGTATGAGAGAATTAATGTACACAATTATGATCTAATAAAAAACAAATAAAAAATAAATAAATAAATAAATAAAACAAAAAAATATATAGGTATAGATATAGAGATACAGAGATACGGATTAGTAATTTCAGACTCTAAATTATTATGACCCAAACAAGGCCATGTGCTGGTAATGGTGAAGCTGGAATGGAAACAGCTAATGTTTGTCTAATGTTCTAATTCTTAATAGGAAATGTACTGTGATTGGCCTATTTTAAAGAGTAGTAATCTGATGTTTTCATAAACCTGTGATGAGAAGTTAACAAATAGGAAAATTTTCCTATTTCTTCCTATCCTCACAGCATATCAAGTATGCCTTGACTGAACTAAAATATAATTCTCAGTCACTTTGCTGATGGCCACAAATATTCTACCTTAAAATTAGGCAAAAGTTACTTAACAATATCTCACATAAAAAGATCATTTTTGGGCTCGGCGCCTATAGCTCAACCGGCTAAGGCGCCAGCCACGTACACCTAAGGTGGCGGGTTCAAATCCCCAGCCCGGACCCGCCAAAC